TATATAAATTTTAAATATAATTTATATATTCAAACATAATTTATATATATAATTTATCATAAATTTTAGTTATATATAATAAATATTTTACTTGTGTATTGCATTGGTTAAAATATTAGTTTAAAAGTAAAACTTAATTATATCTCTTTAGCATGTTTCATTTTGTGATTGTTTTTCTTGTTTAGTTTTTCACCTTTATAATTGTGTTTGTGTAAGTCTGCAAAGTTTTAAAAAATTTAAAAATTATTGAATATTTTGTTTCATTAATTTAAAGTTACAGATAATTATAAAATTGTTTTATATAATTTAAATTAATAAAATGAAGTATCAAATAGTTTTAAAAATTTTTAAAATTTTTCAGACTTGATTTATGTATTAAAATTTTTTAATTTAGTGATTGAATTGTTAAAATTTGATGTAAAATATTTATGATTAAGTAGAGTAAGTTTAGATAAATTTACTTTTAAAGTAAGTGAATCTCTTTCTTTCTCTCTCTCTTTATACATATATATATATTTATCGTGACAATTTATTTATTTATTTTCCACAAGATATACAATTGTTATTCTTATATTAGCCTTTTTTTATGTTATTTTTACTTTGGATATACAAATGATTATGAAATCTTTACAAGTATCTATATATCATAATATAAGTTGATCAGTGAACGAGATCTAAGTATTGATTGATATGAAATACAACTGCATTGTTTAGGTTTATTGAATCTCAATCTAGAAAAATATATAATTTTTTGATATCAAGTCTAAAGCAAAATAATGAGATTGTAAAAATAATATACAAATGACCGCTATATTTTTAACTGTTGGTTGGATAATGTGCAATGAATGAGTATGGTATAAAATTGTTAGTTGTATTTATGTGAGTGTCTAATCTTAGTGGCGAGAGTTTATATATGATAATATCATAATTTTTTGAAAATATAATTGGTTCGACTAAAAACCGATCCTTAACCTAGTTGATTAGTTCAAAAAATTATTTTATAGTAAATCGATGAAGAAACCAATAAAACCCACTTAAAGTCTATAAAAAAAATTCAATTGAATCAATTCAATTAAAAAAAATAAAAATATTTTTAATGAAAATACATGTTTAAAAAATTGTAAATTAGAATAACCTATTTTTAATATTTCTCTTATAAATATAATTTAATCATTTATATTAATTTGTAATTTTTAATATCTTTAATTCTTTTCATAATTTATATTATACTAATTTTATATTTTTTTATTCTAAATGTAAACTTATTATTATTAATGGA